GATGGATAGATAGATAGATAGATAGATAGATAGATAGATAGATAGAATATGAAGCATATAAAAGAGTAGCTTTCCATGTGGCTTTTAAAAATCTTTGTTTTAATTGGTTTTCTTAAATCTTTATGTAATAACTAGAAAATTGTTGCATTTGTATATGCCAGTTTTACTTAGTAGGACTCACTTCGTGATTATGTACACCAAGGGAGGTACAATGAATCATTCATTCATTTCCAACAAAGCAATATAGATTTCATTGACAGATATCAAATTAAGTTGCTCACTATTTCATAGTAAATTTTTGACATAGTATCTATTATATTTTCTTCTTTCATTGTTTTTACTGATTCTTAAAAGATAGTTTTAAAACTGGTAAAACTGAGACCTCTTTCTGTGAACAAATTTCTTACCTTGTAGGAAGTTACTATAAAAACTTTTTTTTGAATTAGCACCCTTTAACAAAGCATGTTCCTAATTTTATCCTCCTGTTTTTGCTAATTTTTTTTTGGTTTTGTAATAATTAAGGTGATAAGGATTTATCCCTCTAAAGAATTTCTCCTTCAATATCACCTCTTGTATTTTTAGAAGTTAAACAGATCCTGAAATTTCTTACTTTTCACTCCAATGTTATTAAAGTCAATTGATATGAAACCATTGTTATGAGGATTGATGGACTTAATAGTTAAATCTCTTGAATATTTTGCTAGATATTCATTTAAGCCTCCATTTCATCCAGAAATGTAATGTACTTGCATAGCTACAAAAATTGTATTCTTAGAGTCCTTGATATTAGTGGTCACCTAATTATCTATAATCTTCAGTTGTATAAGTTAAATTTTTATATAAACTCATAGTTTTGAATTTTATTCATCATAAAAATTACTTTTAAAGGGATATGTGAGGAATGTTGCAGAAATGACATGATTCAAGGCAGTAGACAACATATGGCTATCAGCACTTCTTATTCTATCTCAAAGCAGTTTAAATTTGGGCATTTTAATGTAGTAATTTCTATAGACTTCATTAAATAGCATAGTAAATCAAAAGATACATAGAAAAAACTAGGAAAGGCTTGAGAAAAGGACTGACAGATTTATGTAATGAAAATTCAAGGTACAGGCCAGGCATGGTGGCTGTAAGCCTAACACTTTGGGAGCTGAATCATGAGGATCATAGGATCAAATTAGTCTAGGCTATATAGTGAATTCTAGCCTGAGCTACATATCAAAACCTTTTGTCAAAAGTCAAAAGGAAAAAAATTGATAAATACATACATATACATACATATACACATAATATACAAGCTATCCAGTAAAACTTGATTTTTAGATAAATAATAACTTAGTATCTGTGTATACTGGGTATTGTATCTTTTCTTTGGTATAAATGTGTCCTAAATATTGTGTAGAATATACATAGATTTATAAAATTATTTATGGTTTATCTGAAATTCAAATGTAGTCAAGTATTCTATAATTTTCTTAACAGTTCCTCTTGAGTACAGTCTACATCAACATAGTTGAAGATGCCGAGCAACTATAAGTGGTTCTTGTAGTTAAGCATCTGTGTGGCTTTGAACATGTTATCTTCATCTGTCTGAACTGAAGTTTCATGTTTTGTAAATGAGATTGAATAATACTTACGTGACCTCTTTTATCTTTATAGAGATTAGATACTATGGTTTAAAAACACTTGGCACATAGTAGTTTTCTATTTTTTTTTAGCAATAGATCTTGTCAATATATTTGAGAACTTTCAAATACTTCATATTCATTTATGTTAAATTGGTAAAAACATGGTTGTAAATTTGTCATTGGATTCATCAAGGTGTTGTATGTCCCAAAAACACTATACGCTACTGGTTTCACCAAGAGTTTTCAAGTCAACAGGTTGGTCAAAGAGAGACAGATGAAAAGTTTATCAGAAATTGATCCAACCATGGCCTGAGATCAGTATTTCTATTTTGGTCAAGCTTCAAGAATGGAATATATAGCTGGGTCATGCTAGCTCTTTTTGTCCTGGGAATACTTTTAATCCTGCCCATCATCACATTAAAGTTTGTCTTTAAAAAGATCAACATGTTGGTAGCCAAAGCACATGGCTTGAATCTGAAAATGGACCCCCGACAGAGTTATTAAATTAACAGACTGGCAAGCCAAGGACGAGTAAGATTCTGCACAGAGCCTTACCAACCTAAGTTAGATTTCTATTAAATGCATAACTGTTATTATGAGAGTAAGTAAATACTGTAGCAATCATTGCAAAAGACTTTTCTAACCTCAAAAGATAGGACCATTTCTCAGTGAGTACAATGTATCCTGTCACTGTGGACAATACCTGGGTGTTCTATAATCTGAACTCTGACACTACCCACTTGGAGATAGTATCAGATCCCAAAGTCTGAGGGTTTAGCCCCCAAGCCTGCTTCCCTCCCCATTTCAAAAGCCAAGCCCAGACTTTAGTTTGTGTCCCTGAATACTCATTCATCCTAAGGCTAGACTAATTTCCTAAAGCAGCTCAAGGTATTCTGGAAAACATTATTTACCAACTTACTGGTAACAATACTTAACAGATAAACATGCAGATGAATTGATACATGGGGGGATTCTTGGACTAGTTCAAGTGCAGGAACTTCTATGACAGGAGCTACTACTCTTTATTTGTAGATCCACTGGCATGCCAAATACACGATCCTTTTTGACATCCCAAGGATTTTAGGATGTTGGAAGTGGATGAGGGATGCAGTTGAGTGGGTAGATGGCTTCCTGAAATAACCTCTGGGTACAGTCCAAAGCACAACTAACTTAAACTGTGGGAGAGTAGGCTGTCTATGCCTGCAGTTCCAACATTTAGCGCTCAGGAGGGAGCTACAGAAGGATCAGAAGTTCAAAGTCATTCTCCATTACATATGAAGTTCATGGACAGCCTGTGTTACTTTTATACAGGACTCTCTCTCTCTCTCTCTCTCTCTCTCTCTCTCTCTCTCTCTCTCTCTCTTCCTCTCTCTCTCTCTCTCTCTCTCTCTCTCCCTTTCTCTTCCTCTCTCTCTTTCTTGCACATGTGTGTGCGCAAAGAAAAACACTAAAGAGGAAGGAAAGAAGGAATGAAGGAGTCTCGAGAAAAATGACAAATGAAAGTTACTAGGCTATTTCTCCATGTTAGTTTGTTGTGAAGCACACTCACAACAGTAGTCTCCAATTGCAATAGCACATTAGATCGACAATATCAGAGTCCACCTGGATCTTGGTGACTGTTTAGCACAGGAAATATTGGGCCAATAATAAAATAATATTAAAAATAACAACAACAATATACACAAATGACGACCTGCTTCCTCTCTTCTGCTTCTTACCTCCTTACCTTCTAACATTTTTCTAAATTTTCTTTTATTTTGTTTTTTGCCTCATCACACATTGGGATTAAGCAGGGCTGCTTGTGAGGGGATGAAAGTAAAGCTGTTCACTGGTATCTAAGTAACCCACAAGTGGGCCGCATCTCTGAAAACCCATAAGACAGCACTTCTTCATATCTTCCAGCATTTATGTTCTTTCTTTCTCCCATTCTGATAATTCCATAAAGATATTCCTTCAGTATTGGAAGAGGTTTTATGTGTGCCCATCTAAGGCTTAATACTCCATGGTCACTTGTTTTCAGAATTTTCTTTCTGAAACCTCAATCTGGGTATGTTTGCCCTTCAAGTGACATTTGGTAGGCTCAAGAGACTTATTTAGTTGCCACATTGTAAGAGATGCTAATTGCATGTAGTGGCTGGAGACAAAAGATGCCATCAAACACTCTCCAGTGCATAGGCCAAACCCTACAACATCATCATCATCATTCTGGCCAAAACTATAGTAGTAGAAATCCTTGAATCTGTCTAAAGTATCTAGATAGTTGTGTGCCCATAGCCTAATGTGAGGAGTATTTTGCATGACCAGGATAGTAGATGTCACAGATGTAAAAATCAGTTATATTTTATAGGAGGAAACCAATTCTTTCAAGCCAGTAAATTTGTTTAGAGGCTTTTTCCAGGAGTCTTTTGCACTATTGTGCCCTTTAACATGAAGAAAAAAAAATATTTCAGTATAGACAGAGACTCTCAACACAAACACACACACACAAAACAACTTGTAAATGTATGCTTATTCTTGGGGTTTTCTTTATCTTCTTATTTTTTATAGCTTTGTGGAAAGTTTATGCAAACGCTATGTAGTAGATCCATCAATCATAATCAGGGGAAACAGAGCATGAAGGAATGAACTGGTAGTTGATGTGTCTTTAAAATAGTGACTTTTCTGAACTCCAAAGAGGCTGACGTTATTTCATCTGATCAGTTTGCTTCAAGTTTCTCAGCTACAGTGTACAGGATTCACTGGAATTCCATAAATATCAAAGAGCTGGAAATCTGTTTCATCATTTTCAACAATTTCAGCATATAAAAAGCTCGAAACCTTGCAGGTGATTGTTTCACGTCCTGAATCATTAGATGTAATCATTCCTCCAGCAACACAACCACCTCCACATCATAGACGAAAATATCTTGATTATAATGTATTAGGTTCTGCTGGAAGCACTTCAAGTGCACAACTCATTTCTCTTCACAAATATTCTGTGAGGTAGAGTTTTTTAAACTCATTTTGCAGATAACAGGAAAATGTTCAATAAGTGATGAAACACTTAGTTTGCTTGTATATCAACAGTAGCTCATATTTTAACAATAAAGCAAGTATTTTCATTGTTATACCTATAACATAAATAACCCCGTTTTCCTGCCACAACACATAATTAGAACTGAAAAGATTATTTCAAATATTTTTTCCAGAAGTGATGTCTTCAGTGTAATTATTTGACTCTACCAACAAACAGTATATGCCCATACTCTGAGGCTGCTATGAAATTTTCCTGTCTTGGCTAAATTATAGACGTTTTAAAAGTGTGCACCTTCTCCATTATATAGTGTGTAGGAAAAAAACATATTTTTTTTATTTTACTTTTGTCATTAGGAAGCACTGAAAGAAAACCACAAGAGAAAGGAAATAGAAGAGAAGAGCAGGAGGGCAAAGCTTGCAAAAGAGAAAGCTGAACAAGAGAAGCTGGAACGGCAGAAGAAGAAGAAGCAGCTCATTGATATAAACAAAGGTACAAAACCATTTCCAGTGCTTTGCATACGTTGCGGCCATGGAGGCTTGTGAGCCACAAAGATTTCCATGTCTTAGACCATTTGGTACAGCTGAGTTAGACTCTATCTTAGAATTAATATGTATAAAATATTGATAAATATCAAAGGTCCCTGGGCATATTTATGAGTGGAGGACCATTTACTTAGCATGGACATTACCATAGGGTCTATCTTTAGTCTGCCCTAAAACAGCAATTGAAATTTATAATGATGGGAAAAGTATAAAGTGATTTAATTTTTAAAAATTGTTTAATTGTAAACTGATTTTATTTCTAGTAGAAAACTCATGATATTCTTACTTTTTTCCTGGTTATATTTTGCTTATGTTGCTATTTTTATTTCTGATCATTCTACACTAAACACTGTAAATTATGGGTAATTAGTATGAGCTGTTGTATAGTTGACATGTTGTTTTGTGTTTATTTGTTATGATAGTATGTTCTAGAAAAGGCCATCATGGAGGAAGAAGAGAGTGAGATGAAAAGTGAAAAGCTGGTCTGGGGTAGGAGGGTCAGACCTGAATTTCACTTTGTTGGCTTATATCTATTGTCGGTGTTGTAACAACAGTCCTTCTTGGGGACTTGAACATTCCAAGTCATGATAGATATTGACAGCACTATTACAAGTTGGGAAAACAAGGACTGCCGAGCATCTTACTCAGCTAAGTAGGCAGTCTGGGTGCATTTGCAGTAGTATCCACTAAATGTTCTTTCAGCTAACAAGAAGTTAGAGGTAGATTTTTCTTTTCGTTAGATGTTGAAGAAGAGAGTCCAAAATACTCAGAATGTTTGTGTATATCTATATTGACAACACTAAGGAAGTAGAAACAGGGAGATCACAAATGCAAGGCCACATTGAGTTACAAAATGAATTATTCTTTATCTCAAAACAAAGGTGGATGATGAGGGGACAGATAGAAAGAAGCAGAAGTGATTACTACTCAGGTGTCTGCACCGAGAGGTTAAGAATGGAAGGCATGGCAGTTTTTCTTAAGTACCTTTTCTCCTCTCTTCAGTACTAAGAGATCCAGAGGGTTAAATTAAAACACAAATCTGATCAAGATACAAAGTAGTATGCTTGATAATGGAATACTTCCTGCCATATTTAGCAATAATAAAAATTTCAAGCACTTTTATAATATTGAGCAGATAGCAAACACCATTCTAAGATTTACTACATTCTAAGACAAGCATCAAATCAATCCTTTTTATCTCTATGTAGTGAGTACTCTAATTATCTCATTCTTTGGAAACTAAGCTGTAGGTCATACAATTTAAGGAATTTGGCAAATAGGATACACATACAGATATTATTAGCACTGAGATAGAAGTCATGTAACTCCAGAATTTTTACACTTATCCTTGCCTCTATCAATCAACATTGATAGCAGCTGTTCTGTAGCATTGTCTATGTTCCAAGACAGACTTATTTTAAGGTATTAGCCCATGTGCTTATTGAAACTGGCAAGTCCATAATTTACAAGGAAGATCCACAGGCTAGAACCCAGGGGACAGCCACGTCTGAGTCTGCTTTTCCTCCTGCTTGAGTAAAATTAGTCTTTTTGTATTAGTAGGATCTTCAGCTGATGGGTGAGATAAATTCTCAAAAAAAAATGCAATCTGATTTATTCAAGTCTATCAATTTGAAAGTTAGCATCTTCCAAAAATAGCCTCACAGAAACAAGGATAATATGTGACCAAATTTCTGGGCAATATTGCTCAGTCAAATTGACATATAAAATTAAGCATCACAAGAAGAGTGTTAAAAAGTTGAGTTGGCAGTCTCTGGTGATTGCTTCCATGTAGGAATTGAGAGTGAGTGTTCTGCAGAAGGGAATATATTCATTCACAGAGAAAGAAAGTTCATTTATTGTGAGAGTTACAACAGGTAGTATCACTTGAACATGTTTGGTTTTCAATGCCTTGGAAAGAAATCTTAAGGGGATCTTTAAGGAAAATCTTTGGGAAGAATGAAACCCAGGAAGGAAGTCTTAACTACATGTACAGGGTTTTGTTTGAAGAATAAAGTAGTGAAGATTACCAGAAATGGTGTAAACTGGTAGATTAAAACAGCAGATGTATTATCTCATACTTCTGGAGGCTAGCAGTTCAAGATGAACATCAACAAGGCTACATGCCTTTGGAAGAAACTAAATCCCTCTTTCACCTAAGAATTTACCAGTTATTCACTATTTCCCTGAAAATGTGCCCAAGCCATAGCTAATTGTCTCTTTTAGTTACCATTGAAAACACTGTAGAAATCTAAATAAGTTTTTTCTGCATTTGATGAGATTGAGGGATGTGAGCATTAGAGACACATTTTCATATGATACTTTTCAGTGCTAGATGGATGGCTCAGCAAAGAATAATGAATATTGCTCTTTCAACAGATCTACGTTCAATTCATAGAACCCACGGCCAGGCAGCTCACAACCACTTAGAATTCCAGTTCCAAGCAATGAGATGCCCTCTTCTAATCTCCCTGGGGACTGTACCAACCCACACTGAGACATACATGTAATTTTGAAAAGAAAATGAATAATATTTCTCTCTTAAGGGCTGTTAATACATGCAGATCAAGAAAATGGTAGGCTTCAATATTAGCAACTTAACTTGTGGCTATGTATAAAAAATACATTATTGTTGTTATTGTTATTATATATTTCAATAGTATTTTACATGAGGACTGTGTTCATACTTCAGAATAAGTTATAGAAAGACATCTTTGAAAGGTTTCGCATTTTAAGTTTTAAGAATGAAAAGATGCAGAAAAAGAAGAATATAGTCATATGTCAAGATAGAGCTCTGTGTACCACATAAATATGTATAAATTTATCCATTAATCAAAAATGGTAAAACTGCTTATGCCAATTACTCTGATTTGATCATTAGGAATTGCATATATGTATATAATTATCATACTGTGCCCTGTAAATGTGCATAGTTGAAATAATAACTGACGAATAGGGGATAGAGCCAAATCCTTGTCTCACACATGCAAGGCCCGTGTTCTATTTCCTGCACCACAAAATTCATAATAATAATTAATAATAACTAAAAATCTTTTCAAATTTAACTAAAACTACATGTACTTTTAACAGTTTCTAGTTTGTATCAACTTAAGAAAATGACGAACTATTATAGAAAAACCTTCCATGAACTCATAAAACTACTAGATAACAATAATGAAACTTAATTTTCTGCCCGGCAAAGTTATATACACTTATGATAGAGAAATATAGTCTGATTTAATTGTTCAAAATTAACAGAATATTTATGATACAAAAGATTATATCTGAAATCTAGACATAATCAACTGAGTTCAGAAATAAAGATATAACAAAAGCCAAACAAATAAATGCTAATATTCAAGATAAAGCCATTAAAATGTCATGTATCAAGTCTCAGTTTTTAGAAACCTATGGGTCAGAAGGCAAAAGTGATAACAGGAAACGATATTTTATTGTAAATGAGAAAATAGGTATTTTATGCTAAAGAGGCCACAATTTTTGGGTGTGATTAAAAAGCAATTGCTGTGTTAAAGAAGGAGTTCATTTTAGCTCCACCACCTAGGTTTATGCACTCGTCCTTTTCCTGTATCCATTCATGCTTCAGGTCCTTCAGCTGTAATATAGGGCAATGGCATTTATCTTGTGTAGATTAAAGGAGATAATTAAGTATAGTAACTCTCTTGATACTGATGAGTCATTTAATTCTCATTGAAGAATACAGAAAATGCTCAAGAAATCATTCTCACCTTTAAGACATTTTTAGTTTTGTCAAAGACATTTAATAAAGCTGAAGCAGCAACTAGTAAATTGTGTGCCAATACATGATAGAGATTATTTGCTTTGTAGGCCTATCCAAAGGGAAAAATCAATTTAGTTTGGCAAAATGTCAACTTTTCCTGGAGAAAGCTAAGAGTAGTTTCTGTGCATATTAGTTGAGCTACTCCTTGAAAAATGGGTCAGATTTTGCTAAATAACATCAGCAGAGCTCCACATCAGCACATCTGTAACAGGCCTCCAGTAAGCTATGTTTAATAACCATGGGAAAATACAACAAAGTGATGAAGAGGACAAAGTCCTAAAGTCAAGTCCTGCCTCCATCATTTCTAGGCTATAATCTCTATCAGTGTATTGAGGCTTTCTGTGACTGACTTTCTTCATTTTATAATATAAATAATTATTCATATAATACAAAAAAATATCGGTAATTTTTTTCTATTGTGAGTACTAACTATGAGGTGGGAACTATTTGTACTTGAGCATACACACCTAATATATAATTATGTCTTTTGACATATTCTCAATCTCTAGTGCTATCATGCTAAGTGGATATTTTCTGCTGTTACCATAGTTAGGAAAAAAGTTAGGTTTGGAGAACTAGGGGCAAGAGAAGATAGAGCCAATCTACAAAAATCCTTGGAAGTGAGTCACAAGAGGTATGACATGATGAGGGAGGAGAGCCCAGGTTATTGAAGGAATTCTTTTAGGGATTGCTGAGGTAGTAAACCTAAAGCACAAGAAAGAAGAGGTGACTACGAGAAGGACATAGCTGGGAAAGAACAGTGAAAGGTGAAGAAAAAGGAGTTAGCTGGCAGCTGATTCTTTCTTCAAAGGCTTTTAAACCAGTGGCAGTTTAAGACTGTACTAGCAGGAGGAAAAAATTCATGAAGGAATGAAGAGAGACCGTGTGAGTTGCCAGTGACAGATATACCAAAGAGCAAGAGGCTTATTTTTTTCAGAGCTGCATAGTTTTACCAATACATAATTATATATTGATGTCTTTTAGCATATTAGGTTATTTCATTCATCCAAGTAACATTTATTGCACCATTTCCCAAATAATCATAATTAGAGCATGCACAGTAATATAGTATTTATCTGAATGTAAAATGGAGAAAGCTAATTTACATGCAGCAAAAATTATGCTAAATCAATAAATGCGCTCAAAAATGT